CGTTCCTAAGCCTCCACATCCTTCTGGTAGTGTGGTGACCAGAACTGTACATAAAATATTCCAAATGTGGCCTCATTAAAGTTATAAATAGCTGCAACATGACTTGCCATACTCTGTGCCCTGACCAATGAAGGTGAATATGCCATATGCCTTCTTGACCACCTTATCTACTTGTGTTGCCACTATCAGGGAATTGTGGCTCTGTATGCCTAGATTCCTCTGGATGTTGCTGTTACTAACTGATTTACAGTAATCAAATCCAGAGAACTATACTTCTATATCTAATCATTAAGTTCAACTTAACTGATTATTATTAGTCTGTATCCTGGGAATTTTAGAGCTTAGACGTTCTCAGATTCCAATAACTTGCAGATTTGAACCAAACACACTTAGTCTAGAAGCTGAACAAAATTTTTCTACTTAGGTAACTTATTCCCTTATTGGCTGCAAAAAAACCTTGTCTAGAAAAAAGGCTTCACTTCCTTCTGACTTCAGTTAGGTCTTCTCTGAACTGTCATAAAAAGTTTCAAATCTCTGTTTTTTCTAAACCAAAAAGTCAATTCTTGATTCTAAACTGAAAACAAGCTAGTACCTTCAATCTTTACTCCACTTGTTGTAAATGATACCATTTTAAAAAAAATCCATTAACACTCCAAGGGCTCTCTTTTCCCAAACACATTAGGCCAGAGACTTCCAAATTATTTTATGAAAAGTCCCTTCAACAAAAGTAACAAACATCCACAGGCCACTTCTTAAAAATCTAAAATCCTACACCTTTCATGACATTACATGTGCAGTTTCTTCAGGCACTCAGAATTCTGAATTGTAGAAGGTATACTCACTAGTAGTCCTGTGCTACATTTTAAATAAATTCTAACTAGCTTGAAACAAAATAAAACTTATACTGGCACACAAACATAGTTACCAGAAGAATGGAGTAGCAAAGAACTGAATCCAGTATCTGTTGCAACTCTCATGAAACTGTTCCACAGATTAAAGCACAGCATGCAATACCATACAGCAAAACAAAGGCAGCACAGGCATGTATCCTGAGGCAGAAATTAAAAAAAAAGCTCTTCTGTTTACTGAAGTTAATCTCATTTTTATTTATATTTTCCTTCACATTACAATTCTTAGTTATCAAAAAACAAAAGGTTGAACAGAACTAAATCAATATAAATTCAAGGTCAGGTTCAAGCTACAAAGGACATGGGTGAATTAAATGTTATGCTTCCTGCCAAACTCATTAGCAACTGCCTGTTCTTGTGCCAAACTTGCTACAGCTTGTACTCTAATTACAAATATTTAAATAAGAGATTGAGGGTACAAAATTGCTGTATGTTCTCTTTTGCTGAGACTATGTAATCACACCTTCCAAAAAGAGAGAAAGGGAAGTTGTACTTGAAATGTCTGGACGGAGTGTAAATCCCCCCAAAAATGCTACACTTTCCTGACAGTGATAGATATGACTGATAAAAAAAAAACTGGTTGTACAATTTATTTTGTTCAAGAAATTTGAAGCAGAAACTTTCATTTACAGAATTAGTTTTCCAACATATTCCATTAGCTCTTTAAGCAGAAGAATTAAAAATGGAAAACTAGTATGGATTTTTTTTGCCAGTCACTCTAACATATGACTGGATTTTCCCACTTGCAGCTGAAGTCTGGTGGTGTGGAGGTTGTGTGGCATCAGTTTGTCCTGGGCCGGGATGCATTTTCTCCCACTTTTCACCTCATTCATTATGCAACTGTGATGTTAGGCACATTTCATAGGGAGTCGTCTGGCCAGGCAGGTGCTTGCCACTGGCGAGACTTTCTGATTTACACGCTTCTGGTGTCATATTTAAACCCTAGCTGCATACCATTCTAGATACAGTAAGCCAGGGATTGCACTCCAAACTACACTGTCTAATCCTGAATATGTCACAGAAGAAAGATAACTTAGCTCCGTCCTAGGGAGGCAAGGGTCTGGAGGTGCTGGTCAATGAGATGGTGGGCAGAAGGGCAAGCTCTCTTACCTGCAGACTTCCAACTGCCAACACCATGCCAGCTTGCACACAAGCAGTATCATGTGTCAGAGCGGTAACCCCAGTGAAAAGGGATATCCAACAATGCAGAAGGAAGATCGATGACCTTCTGCATTCTGCAAGACTAAGTTCCACCATCATCTCTCTGCCACCTCATATTCTCAAAGCCAGCACCCACTCTAACTCTGCCACTGCATGCATATCTTACCAAGGCTCATAGACTACAACTCTCTGTATTGCATGCACCACTCATGGGTTCACACCCATCTCACACTCTCAAGCTACTGACACTTCCGTTCCTCTGTGCTTCCTAAACAATCATCTTTCCACCTCTCCTGCTCATGCATCACCACTGACTGCTTGTCAATCCACTTCCATCGACTCAGTCCCTCACTTTGTTTCACTGCAGGAGAAACCAGACCATAACTGGGCCAAGATGTCCAAGACTGGAGGGGTTTTATGTGTCTGTCTGTGGCAAATGTCAGGCCCCTTGCTCATTTTAAGGAGAAAATAACACATCTGGTTACAGAAGAGAATGGCTATCCCCATTGTGCAAGGAGACTTCAATGGGCAGACGGTAGGCACCACTGTGCTATGCTGCTCTCCCATTGCCATCATTGCCAACTCATTCTTCATCTGCAGAAGCTTTTGTGCATATGAAAGAACAAATTCTCTCTTGGTTCCCAGGCTGGACTAGTAGCAATCAGTAAACCCCCACAAAGAGGCCAACACCAGTAATAAAAAAAGAACTGTGGATGCTGTAAATCAGGAAAAACAAAGTTGCTGGAAAATCTCAGCAGGTCTGGCAGCCTCTGTGAAGGAAAAAACAGAGGTAACGTTTCAGGTCTGGTTACCCTTCCTCAGAACACCCAACACCAATAGTGCTTAGCTCTATCTGCTCCTCTGAGGAAAATGTCAGTAAACTCTCAGAGGATAAACTGGCAATGCATTCATGTGCACCCTCCAAGTTCAGAGACTTTCACTCATTGGGTATTCTTTCTAGATTTGACTCGAACAGAACCTGGTGCCTGCGTCCCTGATATGTCTCCACAGATAGATAAGGAAGAAACTCCCCATGTCACTGGCACTCAGAGGACTGCCAGAGACTGGGCACTTGCACAGACCCAGACAGTAGGCTAACATCTGTTCTTGGCCATGATTGACTTGGTCAACTAGCAGGAACATCGGGCAGTTTTGCCAGAGGCACTTGGTAAGCTGGAATGAAGGACCAATGTGCCCACCTGCATTATCAGGCATGCGCTGTGCCCAGCTACCTTATGAAGAGGTTGGCGCTCACAGATCTGCCCCTCAAGGTGCCTCTACCCTCACACAGAAAGGGTGTTGATAGCTGGCACTCAAAGACAGGAGGAGAGTGAAAAAAGCACCTCCCCCTGCCTCCAAAAAAGCTTCTTCTTGGGATAGTTGAGTTACATCCAGCCCTCCACACCTCATTGCCTGTAATCCCATTGCCTGTAGCAGTACAAGCAGAGGAAGGTGTGCCATCACCGGGGGTGGAGACTCTCAGCAGGCGCAGGCCCTCTAGGCCCAAAAGGGTGACTGCCCAAGTCCTTCAAATACACAGGGCAAGCCACAGTGCCAAAGGCTCCTTCTACACCATCTGTCGAAGTCAGGACCGCACTTCAATGTAGTGGGAGGCAGAGGATTAAAAAGACATATTGAAGGGAAACCAATGGGATCTGTGCAACATGATTCATGTGACACAAGTGCCAGGAAATGACCATTTCCAACCATGGCCCTTGATATTCAATGACATTATCATGACTGAATTCCCCATTATCAACATTCTACGGGTTATGATTAACAAGAAACTGAACTAGTTATATAAATACTGTTGCTTCAAAAACAAGTCAGAGGCTAGGTATCCTGTAGAATTAGCTCAATGCCTGACTCCCCAAAACCTGGCACAAGTCAGGAATATCATGGAATACTCCCCACTTTTCTGGATGGGTGCAGCTCCAACAACACTGAATACACTTTCATAGAATCCCTACAGTGTGGAAGCAGGCAATTCATCCCATTGAGTCCGTTCTGACCACCCCAGAGAGCATCCCGCCCTATCTCTGCATTTCACACCCTAGACACTGTGGGCAATTTAACATGGCCAATCCACCAAACCTGCAAGTCTTGTGGACTGTGGGAGGAAACCGGAGCACTCAGAGGAAACCCACGCAGACACAAGGAGAACGTGCAAACTCCACACAGACAGTTGTCTGAGGCTGGAATCAAACCTGGGTCCCTGGTGCTGTGAGGCAGCAGTGCTAATCACTGAGCCACTGTGCTGCCATAAACCAAAGTGGAGAATGTGGGCATCGATCCCACTATCTCTCGCTGTGAGGTACTTGACACCAGGTAGGACAAAACAGTCCACTTGATTGGCACCAGATTCAAAAATATTTATCCAATCCACCACTGATGATCAGTAGCAACAGTGAGTGCCATCTGCAAGATGCACTTCAGAAATTTATCAAGATGCCTTAGACAGCACCTTCCAAATCGAATACATGACTATCCAGAAGGAAAGTGCAGCAGATACATGGGAATACTACTTCCTGCAAGTTCCCCTCCAAACCACTCCCCACCGTAACTTGGAAATTTATTGCCGTTCCCCCAGTGCCAAAATGTTGGAATTTTCTCTTTAATAGCATTGTGTGGGCACCTATACCACAAGGACTGCAACGTTGATATCACTCTGCATTGCAAACCAGCTATCAAGCCAACTCAGCTAACCAAATCCCACCTAACCTATCCAGGGATAAACGTGTTATTTGAACACTGTATAGAAATTGAATCTTCATTTTTTATAATGCTTGTGTCAATATCATGCATGAGGTGAGAAGCAATAATGTACTGTCCCTTCCCTTCGGCATTTTCCCATTCACAAAGGAGGAGGTGGAGGAGAACCCGTAAACAAGGAACTTTTGCAATCGCAAACAGTACTAAAATCAAACTCACAGGGCAGTTTAGTGGCTAGCCATGGTGAGGAGTTTGGGACGTAGCCACTTTTTGATGCAGCAATGAGAAGCTGAACTCCAAGGGTGTAGCGGAACGTGATGAAGGCTACCCCATCGGCTTCTGAATATCCCGAGGCAAATGAGGTCTGGTTGGCGAAAATCTCAATGAAGGCTTTACCCAAGGGCTGATGTGTACTTGAATCACTGACATGGACTTTTAATGTCACCTCTGAAAAGAAACCAATAGAGATAGGGTAAGAAATTACTGATCAATAAAAACTTATTTTTATCTTCATTGCAAAACAATAACCACCCAATTTTACTTCTAAGATGTACAACTTATTCGTGCTTATTATGGTTTTCAGAGAGAACATAACAAAGGAGACAGTAATTAATGTGCTTTTTGTAAAACAAATTGCAATAATGAAACCACTACTTGTGACAATAATAGACCTTCTTTGCAGAAAGTTTAAACAGTATTAATACATTCAAAGAGCCAATTTCCCTGTTCTTTACATTCTGTCAATCTACTGCTAATTTTTTGGAATGACAACCAGTTTATTCAGCCATGCTGCAATACAGATGTTATGCAGTGTGCAAGAGACTGCAATTTGCAACTGCAATTTCCAAGTGCACCAAGGTCTATTTTCCATCTCAGTTACTTTTTCTCTAAGCCATTGGTCTTACTGCCTGGAGTTCAGCAGACTTAAAATTGAACTCTGCAGGCATATCCTTCTTGCAGTTATTTTTGGTGCCCATTTTCCACATTCCTGCGATTCATAACATAAGTCAGAAAAAGATTGAATGCAACTTCCATTCCACAAAAAAGTGGGAAGTATTCATTTTTATCAAAAGTGCACAGTAAAATCTGTATAAGGAGTCATTCCCAAAAAACCTGGAGATGCCCAAATAACGCTACTGGTAAAATATACAAGGTATGTGCAAAACCCAGTTAGTCATAAATTATGAATGAAAGACAGCTTGCAATGCACCAAGCTCTTTTACAACTTCAGTCATGGGGCAAGGCTCATTGAAAACATTTACTGATTCAGGATTACTGCTGCTCCATCTTGCAGCTAGTTGTCTCTCTGTCCTTATATTCCCCACACATTCAGACTATTCAGGTTAGCCCAAGGTGGCACTGGGTTTTGCGAAGAAATCGCTTTGTAGAATGAAGATAACCAGCATCCATTTTCCAGAGAAACCAATCTCTTTCTGGCTTGGCAATTCTGTCTTAGGAGCAGTGAATTTCCATTCCACTGGGGTGGCACGGTGGCTCAGTGGTTAGCAGTGCTGCTTCACAGTGCTAGAGATCTGGGTTCAATTCCACTCTCAGACAACTGTGTGGAGTATGCACAGCTCTCCAAGTGTCTGAGTGGGTTTCCTCTGGGTGCTCTAGCTTCCTCCCCCAGTCCAAAGATCTGCAGATTAGGTGGGATGCTCTTCAGAAGTTTAGTGTGGATTCGATGGACCAAATGGCCTTCGTCCACACTGTGGGAAATCCATGACTTGGCAAAAGAACTTCTGATTCTACTGAACATTTTTAAAAATGGTATACAAGAAGCCATTCTGAAAATAAAAGGAACACGCAGAAAAAAAAAAGTGTATCTCCTAAGGTATCTGAAATTTAAAGTTTCACAGAACTTTTTAGGTGCATATTTTTTTGTTAAAAAATGTGCTGCTCTTCTGCATGACGGGTCACACAATAGAACACTCAATATTCATAGAAGTCGGACATGGAATAGATCCAATTCCAGGTAAAAGCCCATGCCTTACATAAATACTTTAACCCAATTGTGACTATGGAGTCATTTATAAGAAAAAAAAGATCAAAGCAAAAGGCAAAAACTTAAATTTAATAATGTCTTTCATAAACTCAGCGTATTCTATGGTGCTTCACAGTCTTATAAATATTTTTGAAGGGTGGTCATTGTTGTAATGCAGGACACAACATTAGTGCTGTGTACATTCAGTCATCAGCAACCAGGAATATAAGATATTAAAACTGCAATTATGCACTTGTGTGAAATACAACTTGGCAAACTAAATTTTAAAATACTTTCAAATTGATTTCACATTGTCCATGAGGGGTTAAACAAAAATCTTCTTCGTCAGCCGAGATAAATTTCAGATCAAATTCCAAAATATGAGCACTGTACTCTCTTTCTGAATTAACTAGATCCAGCTTACTAAGCAGACTGAAGTCCCATAAGGGGATCTTAAACTAATTTTAAGATTCTGGATAGGGATTAAATATGAGCATTTTTTTGACAGCACATTCAGATACATTTTCTTAAAAAGAATAGCAATAAAACACAGCATCCAGTACGGTAGGAAGGTGGTGATTTTATAGGACTATTAAAAGGTTTAAGCGAATGATGCACAGCTGTGAGTTCCAATTTCTCCAGAGCAGGTGGAAAGTTTAAATTCAGTTGGTTACGTGGAATTTGGAACAAAAACCTATCATTACTAACGGTGACCAGAAATTGGTGGAAAAAAACCTCATATGATTCACTGATTAGCATCGGGGAAGGAAATTGCTCTTCCCTGCTTGGTTTGGCCTATATGTGACTCCACAGCCACAGCAATATGACTGACTCTTAACTGTGCTCCAAAATTGCCCAATAAGTCAGTTGTATCAAACAAAAGAAACAGGAAAATTGAACTGACCACACAGCATCAAACTTGGTGCTAAATATAACGTTGACATGTCCATCCCAGTCACCCTGCAAATCTTTCCTCACTGACATCTGGGAGGGTAAGGGTTAGGGTTAGTGCTAACGTTGAGACAGCAGTTCCATGGATTAGTCATGGATAACTGAGTGAATTATATTCACTTAACTTCTCCGTCTGCATCCAGAAGCACCTCTGGACAAATGTAGAGGTGATAGCACATAGACAGTCAGTGAGAATTGAGAATTCTCATAGATAGCCCTGAGAATCTTCAGCACTCACTCTTGACCTCAAGAGATAAGGTCAAACATAGACAAAGAGACCTCCAGCTGAATCCATATTCTTCCAGGTTGAGCACTACATCAACAAAAGGATTGAAGGTAGCAAGGCTCTCAAGTAGGTGGCCACACTCTGTGATGGAATGAGTGGCTTGTAGTGTCATGTCTCACTGGGGGAGCATGCTAGAGTCCTGCTGTTCCTGGAGTTGTTATAAAAGTTAAACATTTTATCAAAGTATACAAAATTTCCCATTCACCTGTCTTTTCAGCCTCAGGTTAACAGAAAGTACTGGCCAGGTTTCTGTACTTAGCAAGACTGACTATGTCTCACAAATAAATGGTTGTTTACCTGCTGCCAGAATCTGTGAACTGTCAACATAGAACTCATTTTACCGCTGATCCCCTTATAAAACTCCCCCTACACCTGCATACAGCCAGACAAAAATGGGAACGCAGTTCAATGGACTCTGACTGGAGTTCACGGAGTTGACCTTTTAATTGAACAGTACATTCTGCTTTTATTCCCAAGGAACATAATTGCCAGACTGGGTTTGCAGCAGACATTGAGAGAACCAACACAAAGAAAAAACCCACTTAGCCTCGTTCTTGTCAATCTTCCTGATGAAGATACATTCACCAATGACATGACTGTCTTTGCAAGGAATCAAATCAAAGTTCCATCTTCCATTGTGTGATGTACCCCTACCACCACCACCCTGCTAAAATGGAAGAGATTGAGAACGATCGATAAGCTTGAAACTAGGCACTCATAAGACAGTATTTGCCATCAACAGTGTAGTAATTGTAATGAGGTCAGCGAGGTGGACCTCACAGAATATGAGATCCCTGATTGGGGCTGTCACCCTTATCCAGTCAGGGAGCTCTGGCTGACAGATAAGAATAGGAATGTCAGAATCCTGTTGACTTTGAGAGCTGGATCAGTGCCAAGGACTCTCCACATGTAAACAAAAGGTGGCTTGGTGACGGGATACCGGCCTCTGTAGAGTCATTTCAGAAGCAACTGGAAAAAAGCATTCTCCTGAAAAAATTCACTCACAACAGTCGTCTTTGAGTTGGGTTAAGCATTTCTGGCATCATGCCATTATTTGGGAAGCTTGATTTGCTTGATCCTGCCAGTATGTGGAAAGAATGCGTTATTTTTTCTAGGCAAATGACGTTGGGGCAGATGGAAAGCAACGAGTAATTCTGCTGGCAGCTTGTGGACCTGCAGCTTTTTTGATTATCAGGAGCCTAACATTCCCTGAGGCACCAGATACTAAAATCTTTCAAGAGTTGGCAGATTTATTTAAGGAATATTACGATCCCAAGCTTCCTCTAATTCTGAGATGCAATCGGTTTTACTCAGCAATTTGAGAATCAGGGGAATCAGTATTGGGATTTTTGATGAGATTAAGATGACTGGCGGAGGTGTGTGACTTTGGTTTAACTCTTAATGAGATGCTGCCAGAATGCTTGGTATGTTGGATTAATGATGTAAGCATGCAGAAGTGCCTACTAGGTGAAGCCTAACTGAACTCACACAGGCACTGCAACTCGCTTTGTCATTGGAAAACGCGGCAAGTGGAACATATGAGCTGCAGGGTGTTCTGATGGAAGTGGACACCTTCGCCAGGCCGACAGAGCTTGAGGAACACCACATGAGTGAACGCAATTGCAAAGCTTCAATCAGGACATATCCTGAACAGAAGGACCCTAGATCAGTCATAGCAAAACCCCAGAACAAAGCCTAACCTCAGCCAAATGGTTAAAATTTTCTTTAGGATCTATGACAGCGAGCCATTGTAGTTGCTGCCAGTGTGCGGACTCAAAACAGCAAAAGAGTCCCACTTGACCTAAAACTTTAGAGACCAAAGTTCAACTTTAGTTTCAAATTAAATTCTTGATTCTAGCAGATATCGATTTTCTCTTCTGTTCACCAAATAGGTAGTAGTGAAAAGTAGTGAAAGTCCACAAAATTCAAAGACACAAATTTGTGAATATGACAAACGGGCTGCTAGATTTATCTGTGACAGATTTCCAGGATTCCTCTACAGTAGCATACAATCGCTACAGTGTGGCTGCAGGCTACCTGGCCCATCGAGTCCATTTCACCCCTCCAAACAGCATCCCATCCAGACCCATCCCCAACCTATCCCTGCAACCCTACAACTCCCTTGGCTAATCCACCTAACATGCACATCTCTGGACACTATGGGCAATTTAGCATGGCCAATTCGCCTAATCTGCACATCTTTGGACTGTGGGAGGAAACCAGAGC